GGTGCCTCCGAAGCGAGGTCCGCCAAAACCGGCGGAGGTTTTAACGCTTCCCCTGCTGCGACGTTCTCCTGGCGCAGCGGGTGCCGCGGACGGGGTGGGTGTACAGGAACGTGGCGAGGCCGGAGAGCGTGTCCGATCACATGTACAGGATGGCGATGATGGCCCTGGTGACCGAGGACAAGAGCCTCAACAAGGACAGGTGAGACTGCTGCTGGTCACTGTGACCGCCTGTTAATGTTGTGGGAGAGCCGTGACCAAAACGCTTGGAACAGCCGTCGTCCTGAGGAAGAGCTTCTGAGACACACCGGAGGAGTTTGAAATCCTTTGCCCTCTTGCTTTGCCTCCATCCTTTGGACAGGGTGCTGTTTGCCTGGACAGCTGAAAGGGGCTGAAGGCTGCTACTGCTAAATTCCACGCGCTGAGGCAAGTCGCTAACGCAGGGGCTCTGAGCAGGCCTGCTCTCAAGCTGTAAGCAAGGTGAAGACACTCAGTTAAAACACAGCTTGAAGGAAAAAACAGCAAAGCCAGACACTGTGTGGATTTTGACAGATGTAGTTAGCACTCAGCAGCAGCAAGGAGCCTCAGAAATCGTGTAGCACAGAAGAGAAAGCATCATTAGTGTTGAATGAGTTGTCCAGTCTAGAGTGGGATCATGCTTGCTTTGTCCCTCCAGGAGCTGATGAAAATAGGGAAGGCTTTTTGGAGTGTTCTGCTGCAGACTGACCCAGTTGCAGAGTTGTGAGGGTCAGAGTACGTGCTGAATTTGGGATGACTCCCATCAGATTACCTTCTACCTGTTGCAGCATTAGTGTGAAGTATACAATGTAGTTATCACAAAATCTCTGAAAGTCAAGCATGCAAAAGCTAAGTACATTATTTTTGAATGCTGTGCTCTTGTGCAAACTTTATTTGTAATTGAATCTACATTTATAAGCAGCAGTAGCTAGAAATCAGGGATTAAAATCATGTCTAGGTGGAAACTACTTTCCTTAGCACAGAAATGTAAAATGTTATGTAAAATAAATACCCCCCCCAAACCTGTAAAAGATACAAAGGGGATAAATTATGCAGTATCTTCGCTTTCTGAATACAAAGATATAACTTAAAATGCTGAAAGCCTAATTATTCTGTCTTTGCTTCTTGTCAGATGCATACGATTAGCTTTGGTTCACGACATGGCCGAGTGCATTGTTGGAGATATTGCTCCTGCAGATAATGTCTCGAAAGAGGAGAAACACAGGAGAGAAGAGGTAGGAACATAAAGTGCAAAGCCACATCTCCGAGTAGGCCACAACCAACCAAAGTTTTCAGCTCGTGATTTTTGTACTTGTAATGTCACCAAGTACAAAGTTAGGAAGGAGAACCTTTGACGTAATCTGCATGTTGGCCATTTGTTCCTGAACTAGCTGGATTTTTGGTAGCATGAAATAGTCACGCTGACCAGCCGTACCAAGAGGTGGGGAGCCGGGAGTAGGTGCACTGAGAGTTCGTGGCAGATTGTGTGGTGCCAGATCGTGTGGTTGTGACAGGAACTTTATTTAAGCTATTTGCCCAGGACTCTAGACACAGGTGCACATGTCCTGCGTCTTTGAGTGCAGTGTGCCGAGAGTTATTTTATTTTTGGCCTCGTGCATATCCAAACTGTTGGTTTGTCGTTTCTGGTTGGCTGCATTGTTTGAAGAAAATGTAAACCACTCCTCCAGCCACAGCTAGAGGGCAACGTGGTGCCTCAGAAACTTTTTAGAGGCTGCAGTTAGCGCTTCAAAGGGTGTAAAAAACCTCGGAGTGATTATTTCCTTACCCCCCCACCCCCCCCCGTGTTTATCTGTTTAAAACTTGGGATTCAGGGGGCTGCGACTGACTCCAGGAGTAAGCTCTTTGCTAAGAAAGTGGAAATAAAAGATCAAAGGGGTATTCAGTGTTCTTGAACTACTGTCTTTACTGACTGCAGTTTTAGTATTTCTTTTTTTCGATGTACTTCCTAGTGTGTTCTTACACTAAACAAACAAACAAAAAAACTCTTTCCTGGAAGCCTCCAAAGGTTGTTTTGTCATGGGGGATCAGGCTTCAACTTTGCCTAGAGGGAATTCTCGGTTGTATTTAGGCAATGAAAAAGGTATTTTGATGCCTAAGTATGTTTCAGAAGTTTCTTGAAGTATTTGCAGCTCCTTCTGCTCCCATTTCACTCAGTGAGGACGTTGCTGCTGACTTTGTGGAAGGGAGGGTCAAGCATTAAACGTTTAGGCTGACTCTAAAGTACTTTGTTGTAAAAACACACTGAGAGTAATGGTTTCGTGAGGTAGCTTGAGCTGAATTATCAGCGTGCTGCTTCTGCTGCAGAGTTCTCTTTTTTCCCCTTTGCTCTACAGCTGACATTGAGCTGACTCTGAAGTCTGCTTGTGCAGTAAATTTAATCACGTAGTCTCACTAAGGCTAAGACCGCAGAAGATGAACTTTATTTAAAAAAAAAAAAAGGTTGGGTTTTTTTTTTCCTTTGGGGTTTTTTGGGTTATTTTTTTTTGCTGGGTAAGTCATTTTGCCCTGTTGACCTGGAAATCTGATGAGCTGCAGGGCTGGAAGGAGGTGGGAAGGAGTGAGACCTTCATGCTGCACTGGTGGGGAGCAGCTGATCCTCTTCAGCCGTACTGTGAAACTATACCCCGCACTTGAAGTGGAGAAACACTCATGACACAAAACCTTTGTCTTGCCTATGATATTGACTGTTTCGGAAGCAGCCCTTAGTGTCACTAGGAAAACAGCAGAAGTAGCCGAGCAATGAGACTGATGGGCTGCGAGAGCGTGAAGAGCAAGCAGAACAGTTCCTGCTTGTGGGTTATACCAGCAGTTTGATACTGCATTAGACCTTGTAGCAACATTTTTGTTGTTGAACAAATGGTGTCTTGGTCTGGGAGCACTGTGTTTTATTGCTGCAGGGTGTTAAATGGATTTTTTTTCTGTTTTTCAAAATTGGAGATTTTTAAAGGCTTATGTTGTGTTGCCTGCCCGCCAGTCAGCGGCTGTTCTCAGCGCTGCTGGTGGAAATGTGCTAGTTGAGCGTTTGAGAGGGGGCGGTTGCTAGTCAGCACCAGGAGTTAGTATTTTGAAACTGCTTTTATGAACTGCATCCATAACCTCTTAAATTCAAATGTTCCCTCCACTAGTTAAATCTGAAAGGCAGAGCTGGAAATTGATGGCAATTCCCTGGCATTTGACTTGCCTGTTTTGCTCTGGGCTTCTTTTTGGACTCTTGGAGATACTGGATGCACTTTCAGGTTGCTTTTCTTTTGTTTTCTAGCAATTCACTTAAGCAGCTCCCAGAAAAGATCCTCCACTGAGTGGTCCTACTGCTTCTCTGGCAGATTTATGTACAGGTGCACTTTATAATAATAAGCTGTGTAGTGTATGTTGCTACAAACTTGGTAACACGTAGCTAATTCTTCAAAAAAGATAATAATAAAAATGTGCTTGCTCAAAAAATGGATAAATGGAGATGGCTTCTTTTTTTTCAGGCAGCTATGCAACAACTGACCCAGCTTCTATCAGAGGACCTCAGGAAAGAAATCTATGAACTCTGGGAAGTAAGCCTACATTCTTTCAATCCTTTGGTAAAATTCAGGGTAACCCATTGCCCTCTTCCTGTTTAACTATGAAACCGCGTCATCTCTGTATTTTGACCTCAGAAAAGGTAGATTCATTTGCTTGGGAGATACAGCCAACGGTATGAGTGAAGGTCACTTTGGAATCCATTTTGAAAAGAAACCCCAATCTTTGGTAGAATAACCAGCTTCTGCCTTTGGTCTCTCAAGAGTTTCAGATGAACCCGTCCAGGTCTTGTACAACTGAAGGAAGGTTTGTCCTCTACATCCAGCCCTATTGGACATAAATCCCTTTTTTGCTAGATAAGATTAGTCCTGTAGGACTTGTATTTTGCATATATTTTTTTCATTTGCCTTAGTCTTCTCTTAATGATTGCATGAGAGCTGGTTCAGTGTGCAGTTAGTTCTTCAGCATGCTAGGTTTTTATCATTCTCATTAACCATAATTTAACATATGCACACTTTTGATCATTTGTTCTTTGCTTCTGCCTTCAGGATGATTTATCTGCATTGAGTCTCCAATGCAGCAGTATGAGCGTAACCCACATATCAGCGAGCGTAACCTAAAAATCTGATATTCATATGCAGTCCTTCTAGTCTTATATTAAGTGAAACAGCTAGGTGCTTCTTAAGAAGGAAAAAAAACATGGCAGAAAGTAAGAAGCCTCTGATCACTTGGTGTGATACTCTGCTCTCAGCTAGCCAGAGGCATTTCCCTCTGATTTGTTTTTGTGAGTGAAGGATGTTATGGCCCAGAGCTGAACAGGGGCTGGGACAAGATCTGTTGACGCTGTTAGCAAGTCCTTCCTGCACTGCTCTGCCTTCGTCTTTGCCCCTTTTTCCCTTTCAGCCACACGAGGACTGTTTTTTGGACTGTAGTGTTGGTGGGCGCCCTGTAAGTGTACTGTAGGGGAGAAAGGGAGCAGAAAGCTGCCTCCAATGTATTCTCACTTTATAACTTAATCCAGAATACATTTGAAAAAAAAACATGAAAGGAAACAAGTCAGCACTTTTCAGCTCCGTCCTGCCTTTTTATTTTCAAGAGCAAAAGCACAGGAGTAATTTTAAAAGACAGACTGCGGTGTTTGAGAGACCAGTTATGGTTTTTCCAAAGTGTACTGTTATTTCGCACTCTTAAACACCCGCAGGGAGGAAACAGTAAGTGTTTATTTCAGCACTGCTCACAGTTGCACGTATAATAGCTGACGTTTCTTGAGGTTACTGTGAGCTGAGGTATGAATAAGGTCTGGTGGGCTCTATGGCACAGAGAGGTTGTAACAGATTCATACTCCCAGTTAGCTGCTGGAGGTGGGACAGACCCTTACAAGCAGAAAGCTGTAGTTCCCCTTCCCTTGAAGTTCTCCTCTGTAATGCTGCCAAGAGTTTGTTCTCTTTGGTGGCCAAAAAAAAGAGTAGAAACAAATAGATTTAAGAAGATAAGAAGCAGTATTTAAACAATTTAAAGACGAGGCAAAGCTCAGATTGAAAGGAGGAAAAGAAGGTAAAACTTTCGAAATGAAATTGATTACTAAAATAATGATTAAAATGCAACTGGAAATCCAAAGTGTTGTTCAGATTCAGATAGAGTAGTATATGAATCAGTCATGGCTATCAAAATCTGTATTTCTGACTTTCAAAGGTAAAGCAATAAACATCAGCACAAACAGGCTGCTAAGAGTGTGACAGACGGGGAAATGACCGCCACAGGTATCTGAGCATCGCTCTGCTGGAATTACAGCCCAGGCCCTTGCCATTGCGGATGACGCCCGCAGCCAGCGTTGTCTTGTTAAGATGCAGAAGGAGATGCCATGTTCTTTGGTCAGTAGGAAAGACTCTCCAGGCTCTTGCGCTGCTCTCATCTGCGGGACGGCTGTGCGTGGCGGGCTGTGTGGCTCCCAGCGCATGGATGGGCCCGGTGTGTACTTCGGGCTCCGGTCTGATTGTTGGTGGCGTTGTTGATGAATAGGGTCAGGCCTGCCAAGGGTGTCAAGGTGACGGTGACCTGCACAGAAAGGAGTCTCTTTCTGCAGTTGGTTTTGGAAGTCAGGAGAGGACCAGCTGATGAGACATCAAATACAGTGCAGTAGATTTAGAAAAGAGAAAATGAAATGGCAGACTTGTCTGCAGCCATCACTGGAAGCAAATGACAGCGAAATTGTTCAAGTTGACCAGAAATGTGAATGACTCACAAATACGTACTGACAGTGGCTGGAGAGAGGCAAAAGGTAGCAGAGAGATTACAGGATTTAAACTCTGAAGGGGAGGAAACCCCTTACCAACTCCCCTACCTGTCTCCTAGGAGAGACGTAAAGACATAACCAGCTCAGACAGATTAGACCAAAGAGATTAAGAAGGAGTGACAGGAGAAATGTAAAGAACGAGTCCTTATAAAAACAGCAAGTGGTGGAGAGAAGTGCACAATGGGTCTTAAAAATAGGTAATGGTAATGCATAGGCACACACACTGGTAATTCATAGCTTTAACCAGGCCTGAAAAGATCTTAGAAAGATCTTAAAGAAAATATTGTTAAATGGAACCTATTACTTAACTTGCATATCATGTAAGGTTGTCTCAATATCATCCCTGATTCAGTCAAAACACTTGGTATATTTTTAAGTTAAGAGTATGCAAAAGAATTGTGTTTGTAAGTCCTATTGCATTTCACAGAGATTTAGCACGTACTTATGGGGATTGTTCAATAGCAATCTTAAAAAAAGAGAGTGAAATGCGTAACTGAGTATTTATGGAGTGGTTTGTACTGATGAAGAAAATTCTAGATATATAAAAAGCTTCTGATACTCCATTTCAGAGCAATGCAATTTCTTTCTTTTCTTTGCAAATCTGTGCAGGAATATGAAAACCAGCGTACTGCAGAAGCCAAGTTTGTAAAACAGTTGGATCAGTGTGAGATGATACTGCAGGCATTTGAGTACGAAGAGTTGGAAAACACACCTGGCAGACTGCAGGATTTTTATGATTCAACTGCTGGTATGACATTTGGGCTTTTTTTTTCTTTCGTAAATGAAGTGCAATATATAAATTGCCTTTTTTTCTGATAGACATTCAGAGCAAGTGAGAACTAGTTATTTTACTCATTGCTCAAATACCCTAAATATTTGTGGGGAAACTTAGCAGACTGTGAACGTACCTTACGTTTATTTGTACGTGTTGAACCCGAATCTTATTTGCACCAAGTTTCTTTTACCTCGCTTTGGACATGCACAGAGAGGCCCAGCTGTCACTGCGCTTGCATGTGTTTAAGGATCTCCCTATACCATCAGAGGGGGTATAAAGGAGGCTTCGTTCTTCACCGCTGCCTTGACAGCAGCTTGTTTCTGCTTTGTTAGTGTTTCATGAGCCGGTGAAGCAGAATTTGCTATCCCTGCGCGAGCTGTGTGGTCTTGTGTGACCTGCCCAAGGTCCGTGTGAGAACCACCTCAGTGAAATGTTTTAGGTGCAGTTGTGTTAATTTTTATCCACTGCTTTTCATCCTTTCCAAAATAAACTGATAGTGGATAGGAAAACTAGGTAAAATAATAGTCTTTGTAATTTCAGCAAGAGAGTTGAACACCAGAAGAGGACTGTGACTCCAAGTCATCCTGTCCTGGGAAAAAACTAGGGACAGAGAACCTCGGGGAGAGGGCCAGCAGTCACCTGACCCAGTCCCTGACAAGTCCTATTTGTACTTTGGTGACTCCTCTGGGAAATAATAAGCTCTCTGCAAAATGCAGTAATTTGATTAGGGAAGAAGGAGAAAAAGTAGAGCATCAGCATAGCTGGAATACTTGATTCTATAACTGACATCTTTGCCTTCCTACTGGAACTCAGTAACTGAAACTAAAGCTAGCATCTCGGTAGAGCCCGGAGCGTATACCCTGCGGGCACCTGTAATTGGGATGGTTTCCTGCAGCAGGATACAGAGCATGGGATTGTCCTGGCCAGGGTACATCCTTTTTTCAGCTCTTAAGTGTCTTAGCAGAGCATGAAATATTTTTGTAAGTGTTTGGGGAAAAACAGCTGTAACTACTCTTCAGTTATTCCCTAGTTGGAGGAAATGGGAGTACTCTTTCTTAAAAGAACAACTTGGTGTTTATTTTGAGCCTAAAGCAACATCACTGCTAACCTTTCTCTGCCATCCTTTCACACGTAGGAAAATGAAAATTTTGAATTAACTTTCCCTTTTGTTTTGCAGGAAAGTTTGTTCACCCAGAAATACTCCAGCTTGTATCTCTGATTAACACAGAAAGGAATAAAAAAATAGCTGCTGCATCTCACCCACATGCCTGAGGTGTTCCTAAACTCTGTAGCTATAATAAATATTTTGTTTTACGTTCTGTGCATTGTTTTTCCTCCCATAACATCACTAATTCTGCCAGCAGCTTTTTTTCTGTGCATTCGCTGCTGAGAATCCCAGGACCGCTTAGACAGGAGCAGGTAGGATGGTTGCCTCCCAGATCAGCGGTGGTGTCAGTGACCAAATACTTAGAATTAGTTTGTCTGGTTTTTTTTCTCTTTTTTAATCAGCCTCTGATTGATGCAGTCTCCGTTACAAATAGATTCTCCACTGGGGAAATTCAAGTAAGTTTAAAATTTAGCTGATTGCGATCTAACCTGTTCGTGTAATGCACTGACTGGGACGGGTGGCCTTGCTCTGTGACTTCTGTGTGCGTGGATTCAAGTGCCGTCCGCATCAAATGGGCCAGTATCTGTTCACTGCGCCACACGGAAGCGAGACCAGCGAGCTCATTTCTCTAGAAGCTCTTGACAGAGCCAGACTTAGAGGTGAGATTTCTTCGACGTGCGTGAGCCTTAAGAACTGATGGTGAATGAAAATGATAATCTAATTAATGACGTTTTCTCAATATATTTATTTTTTCACACGGTTTTTTCCACTGCTTTCCTGTGTTACCAGGGAGTGGCGCTGAGATTTCCGTAAGGTCGGTGTTCCTGAGCCCCGCTCGCCCCAGGCTGGCAGTTGTGCAGACTCTGGCACGGGTGACTGATAGTCACGGAACAGCTGAGGTTGGAGCTTGCGCAGTCTGGCGCAAACGCCTGTACGCCCGCGTAAAGCCGGCCGTCCCTTGTTCACGCTGTTACACGCTGGGACTGATTCTGCTGTAGATGGTGGTTTTTAGCAGAAGGAATATGCTAATGTAAAGGGACAGCGTGGTTGTCATCTAAAGCTGCAGTGGTGGTAAATGCCATAACGAAGCCAAGATCTGCACTTCTAACTGTTGCATCGCGTGTGCAGCTGGAGATGAGGACAATGTCACAATTACCAGATAATGAAAGCTTGCACCTGGAAAAATTACGCGGTAGAGGCCTGGGGCTAGCTTCCCTGTCTTCAGCCTCGCGTCCAATGAGGCAGCATAAAACTAAATTCAGCAGCCACCCCCTCTGGAGGCAGGAGGTGTAGCCGAGCACACGCCTCGGGCACCCCGGCTTGGAAGCGCCTGGGGCCCTGACCAGTGCTGCAGCCGAGGTGCGGAGTGCCTGGGAGCCGCTCCGGTGGG